GGGTTGGGTTTTATGGCTGTAGACCATGGGCGTGGCCTGATGCAGGAAGCTGGGACTCCAAAGGAGGGTGGAGGAGCACAGGAGGGTGAAGCCCTGAATTTATGAGACCTACTGGATGCAGGGAGCTGCATGCAGGTATTGCTGTGTTTGGATTAAACTTTGAGAAAAAGGAATTGAGGCACACAGAGAGGTCCCTGGCCCGAGTCTCCCAGTGGCGATCCAAGGGAATAGGGATTACAACCCCATTCTCCCCTTCCATCTCGTGAGACTGGAACATCTACTACAGGCCAGGCCCTGTGCTAGACAAACTCCATGACAGAAAAATAGAACATGGAAGACACAATGCAACATGCATCTCCACTTCCAAACAAAAGATGGACTTCCAACGAAAGTGTTGGACATATCTAGGCAATAGGATGTTGGACTGTCTGACATTGTCTGTACCAGTATTGTTGGAAAATTAAAAAAAAAAAAAGAAAAGAAAAGAAAAGAAAAGAAAAGAAAATGAACATGGCAGACACAGGCCTGTCCCTGGCTGCTTGCAAACTAACAGCAGAGGAGACGAGCCTGTGTCACATAGTCCTCGCTGGGGACTGTGAGAGTTGGGGGCACACATTTTGAATGGAGCCTGCCATGCCAGTCTGCACCCTGGTTTCCAGAAGCAGAATCCCCTGGTCTGTGTGCTTGCATACTGCACACCTGGAGTGTTTTGGACCTTCTCCCACATCCTCTTTTCTTCTTTTGGATCTCACATCCTATTCTGGGGTTCTGAACTCTGGGTGCTTCACCATATTGCAGGGACCACACATGAGAGACACTGAAACAAACTCCGGCCAAGAATAATCTGCTAACCCCAGCTCCTTCATCTTCTGGCTGCGTGGACTCCAGTACATTTGTATTTCCTTCATGCAAAATCGACCTTTCAGGCTGTTCTACCTAGGGAAGAGCAAGTTGATCTGATCCCTCTGTCCACTGCCTCATTCTCCAGGTCCTTACCCCAGCAATGCCAGGAGCTTCTTCCCACCTACTTCCCCCTTATTTCCTCTTCTTTAGCTTCCTCTCCACGCCTGTCCCCTCTCCTTCTTCCCCAGGCTCCTCTCACTCCCTGCTTCTGCTTTGATTGTCTGAGACTGTCATTGAGTTTGGTCCCCAGCTCTCCACTGTCACCCATGCCGTCATCATTTTCTCAGAGTCTGGCCAGGTTCTTTCCATCTGAACTTGAGGTTCTCACCATCATTGGCGGTCCAGCATGGAGAAGTGTGAGTTGCCATGGTGACATGTGGACCTTCTCTGGACCTTCTGTTCAATTTGTCATGCATCTACAACTGCTCACCATGGGAAAGTTTATTTCCAAACAAATTCCTCTGCAGGCCAATCTACCTGATACCTCTTCAAGGGCTTCCATGAGATCCAAGCAACACTTCATCTGATGGTATTGTTGTATTTCTGTTGGGCTCCCATTGGTTACCTGATGGCTGCATTAGTTTTGCTTTGTTGTTGTTTTTAAAAACAACCTACCCATTTTTATTGGAAAGGCAGATTTACAAAGAGAAGGAGAAACAGAGAGAAGATCTTCCATCTACTGGCTCACTCCCCAAATGAACGCAATGGCTGGAGCTGAGTCGATCTGAAGCCACGAGCTAGGAGCTCCCTCTGGGTCTTCCACATGGGTGTGAAGGGTCATCCTCTACTGTTTTTCCAGACTGCTAGCAAGGAGTTAGATGGAAATGGAGCATCTGGGACATGAACTGGTGCCCATATGTGATGCTGATGCTTGCAGAGGGAAGGATTAGTCAACTGAGCCATCACACCAGGCCTGGCTGCACTAGAATTGTAAGCTGCAAGAATAGAGCGAGGTTGCCCAGAGCCGAGATTCACATGCTTTTCCTGCAAAGGGCTAGAGGACATATCTTAGGCTTTGTGGGCCAGACATACTGTGCTCTCTGCCACTGAGAGTGGGAAGCAGCCACAGGCAATATATCAATCCACAGGCAAGGCTACACTTTAGCAAAACTTGATGTATAAAGCAAGGGGTGAACCAAATTTGCTCGTGGACCTTTGCTTGTCCCCTAAGTGACATTAATGACTTTTGTGATCCTAGTTGGCACTTATACATTGTGCCAAGGGCTGTGACCCATCTAACATTTGGCACCACCTCTTGGGGTAGATACTGTTGGCATCCCCATCTGTGGTCAGCCTAAGGGTTCGAGAGCTTCAATAACTCAGCCAGGTATGCATAGCCCCTTTGTTCAAATTGAACCCAGGTTGTTGGGCCCCAGAGTCAACCCCCTTGGCTGTGGAATGAATGAACACAGCAGGGATCAGAGGCAACTGGAATGTGAAAGTCTACAGAAGGTGAAAGCATTGTGACACAGAGACAGCGACAGACCTGTGGCAGCAGACATGCCCTCACAGGTGGCATGGCAGCTCAGAAGCCAGGACTCCTGGACAACCTCCACTCCTTCCAGCTCTGCAGTGTGTGAGGCCCGTGGCAAGAACCAGCCCAACTAGCTCTCTGCTCCTTTGCCATGGACTCTCCTCAACGCCATGCCAGAAACCTGGGGTCATCTGCAAGTCCCGTCCGACAAACAGCTGAACGGGGTTGCAATTCTTCACATCCCATCTCCGGTGAGTGGGAAGGGCGATCATGAAGATTTAGCATCCCATAGAATTGGTTCAAATTCAGCTTCTTCAGCTTCAGTTTACCTCTGTAGCATGGGGATAGGAACAGTGACTATGGCCTGTGAGAGCTATGATAACTCAGGGTGATTAAGAGATGAGAGTGCTAACCTCCTAGGCAGCTCAGCAATGCCAGTGGCTGGCATCCTCTTTACCTTGCCAATCAGGACACAGGAAGGGCCAGAAGGGAGCTGTTGCAACAGCATGAAGAATGCTGAATTCAAATCCTGCGGCTGCTCTTTCCTGGCTATCAAGAGGGTCATTATCAATGAAGTTTCCAAAACATTCCAGAACTGCCAAGAAGTCAGCCAGTCTTTTCCACCCTCACTGTCATCATTAATTTACAAAAGAGAGGAGGCGCTTCTTTTTTTTTTTTTTAAGATTTATCTTATTTTTATTGGAAAGTCAGATATAGAGAGAAGAGACAGAGTGGAAGATCTTCCGTCCGATGATTCATTCCCCAAGTGGCCACAACAGCCGGAGCTGTGCCGATCCAAAGCCAGGAGCCCAGAGCCTCTTCAGGGTCTCCCATGCGGATGCAAGGTCCCAAGGCTTTGGGTCATTCTCAACTGTTTTCCCAGGCCACAAGCAGGGAACTGGAACAGCCAGGATATGAACTGGCATCCGTATGGGATCCTGGTACGTGCAAGGTGAGAACTTGAGCTGCTAGACTACCACGCTGGGCCCAGGAGAGGAGTTTTTTAACTTGCATCCTCACCCTCCATTGAAATAGAGTCAGGGAGATACAAGCTAAGAATAGTGAACTCCAAGTCCTGGATTCTCTTCTTTCTTTCTTTCTTTCTTTCTTTCTTCCTTTTTTTTTTTTAAATTTACTTTTGTTGGAAAGGTAGATCAGATTTACGAAGAGAAGTTGAGACAGAGAGAAAGATCTTCCATTGGCTCATTCACTTCCCAAACAGCTGCAATGGCCATAGCAGAGCCAATCTGAAGCCAGGAACCAGGAGTTTCTTTCAGGTCTCCCATGGGTGTAGGCTCATAAGGCTTTGGGCCATCCTCCACTGCTTTCCCAGGCCATAAACAGGGAGCTGGATGGGAAGTGGAGCAGCCGGGATAGGAACCAGTGGGCTTGCAAGGGGAGGATTAGCTATTGAGCCACTCTTGTGAAGTGGTCTCATTCCTGTCCTCATTCTTCTGTGAAGTAGAGTCCCAACACAGGCACCCACTCACTGAGGACTTTGCTTCACCAGGTTCCTTCTGACCTCCTTCCTACGACCCACTCCCTTCACTCTTCTTTTTGACTCTCCAAGAGCCAAAGGAGAGGGGACCAGAAACAAACATTGCCCTGGAACTCAAGGACTTTCTCGGGAGCCCCCAGGAGGGCAGAGGGGGTGGTGATCACATACACCAGCTGTGTCCTGTTGGGAGTGACCAAGAAGGGAGAATGCTGGCTGCGGAACACTGGAGGGACTGTGAGCCTAGGCCTGTGTCCCGTCCCAGGGTGCTCACAGGCAGGGCCTCCCGCCAGGCAGGGGGTGGGCCCCCTGCCAGAGGGCAAGGTCTGAGGGAGGAGATTTTACTATCTCAGGAGACAAAAGGACTTTTGTGTGTTATGATCCCTGGGTGGGATGGGGTGGGGAGAGGGGAAGTTCTTTATTGGAATGAGAATGAGATTATAAGGGAGAAAAAACTGGGAATCAGAGACGCACAGTCTGAAACTGGAGACAGAGGGATAGAAATCAAGGCAGAGAGATAAAGAGGAGGAAGGCTCCGGCCCTGGGAGGCAGGGTTCCTTCCAGCCTATTCTGGGAGTTCCCTCCCCAGCTCTGAAAGTTTAGGGATGTGCACTCATTGAGAATCCTGGCACCAACTTGCAAGCTCTAAGTCTGACCCTTGGCTGAGTCTCAGTGTACCCATCTGTGAAAAGGGCCCAGACCAAGCAGTGGCTCCAGGAACTTGCAACAGAGGTGGGTGTAAGGCAAACACAAGCTCAGGCCCATGTTTGTAAAAAGTTCAGACTTGGAATATGTCTGAATCAAAGAGTGCCCAGGCACTGGCTGGTTGAGACAGGATGAATGGAGGTGGGATCCAGGCTACAGACCGTGTGATACATGCCTTTTATTGGATGGGCCATCTTGACTGAGTTGGAAGCCTTAGAGCTGCAAAACTGAGCCTCTGGGATGGTGCCATTCAACATGGGCTGTCTGAAAACGGGTTCATGAAAGCTAGGGGTCTCCTTCGCGGAGGGACCAGGGGAGAGAGAAGAGAAGGGATGTGAGGGCCTTTTCTCATGCCAACTGACCAGATGTCTGGGAATTCCTTCCTGCCTGACTGGCTGGAAATGGCCTTGGGGCCCAGGGCTTTCAGAACCACACGAGCCTGTTGGACTTGAGGCCGGAGAAGCACATGTTGTTACTGCAGCTGCCTTGGTAGCTGGGAGGGCAAGCAGAACACGGCCTCCCCACCTTGTATGGCGCCTCTCCAAGCCAGTTGCCCCTGGAAGAGAAAGAAGAGGCCCAGGGTAGCGGGGTCAGGGGCTGGGAGAGTACAGCGAGCAACTTACACACAGGTGTCCGGGACAGCATGGTGGCCGCTGACAGCGTGACCTTGAGCGAGTCACATCCCCTCTTTCACACCTAGCCCACCACCCTCACGGGATGCAGCCAAGATCTAATACCGCCACACGTGGGTGCACCCAGCACCGTGCCAGGCAAGTACGTGATGCAATCCCTAATCCTCGGCTGGGCAGATCTGAGCTCTGACCCTGTGTCCTGGCACCTCTGCTTCATTTCTTGAGACTCGAGTTTATCCTCTGAATAAGAACGACAACATGCCCATGAAAGTGACATGAGAGGAGAGAACATATGTTAACTTAGGAATGCTGTGCAAGTGACAGTGGCATGTGAGATGGCAAGTGCAGCTCAGCCCCAGGAGAAGGTGGCTGCCATATCTCATCATCACCATGGCTGTCTACGTCTTTGCTGGTTTTCTCTCAAATTCCTCCTTCTTGTTCCCAAACAAATCCTATAGAAAGACCACCATCTTTAGCAGGGAGAGGCAGGCAGTTGGTGCTTAACGTTTGCAATCTTTCTCTTTGGGCTGATTAAAAAGATTTGGTTGCCCAACAATGTGACTAAGAGTAATTCCATATGGTTGTGCATTTAATACTGTTACACACACATTTCATGTTACTTAGAATTTATCAGACTGTTTAACATGTGACAACACACTATAGGGGCAGGTGTTTGGGCCTAAGGTTAAGACACTCTCAAGTTGGACAGAGGTGCCGGCTGCTGTGCATCCTGGGAGGCAACAGGTGGTAGTCCAATTGCATGGGTCCCTGCTGCCCACTGGGGAGACCTGGAGACAGTTTCAGGCTCCTGGCTTCTGCTGGTGCAACCATTGTGGGCATCTGGGGAGTGGACTAGTCTAGGGTGAGGGACTCTCTCTTCCTCTTTTAAATATATATGCATGTATATCTGGGTGTATATGAGTGTGTAATATACTAAAACTCAGTGATGAGTTGTATGGCAAATGAATTCTCTCTCAAAATCAGTTTGTTTTGATAACATAAGACCCTACTTCCATCCCATCATTGTCCCACTTGCCAGCTTTGGGGGGTCTTCCCTTTTTCCTGGCAGGCATGGAATGGCAAGCTTGCCCCATAAATGACCAGAGGACAAAGACAAGGATACTTCAAAAAGTGTATGGAAAGCAGAATTAGAGGATAAGTTCTTTTTGGTACAGAAATTGCTTAAAATCTGTGCATACAAACACAGAAGAAGTTTAGGGGCAGGAAGGTTAGGTGGGGATGCCTGGGACGATAGAATAAAAGTCATTCTTGGGGTGGGTGCTATGGTGTAGTAGGTTAAGCCTATAGAATCCCAACATCCCATATGGGCACTGGTTCGTGGGATGCTCCACTCTTTTTTTAAGATTTATTTATTTATTGGAAAGGCAGATGTACAGAGAGGAGGAGAGACAGAGAGGAAGATCCTCCGTCCAATGATTCACTCCCCAAGTGAGCCCACCGGTCGATGCTATGCCAATCCGCAGATCCGAAGCCAGGATCCATGAACTTCTTCCAGGTCTCCCACATGGGTGCACGGTCCCAAGGTCCTGGGCCATCCTCTACTGCTTTCCCAGGCCACAAGCAGGGAGCTGGATGGGAAGTGGAGCTGCTGGGATTAGAACTAGTGCCCTTATGGGATCCTAGCGTGTTCAAGGCGAGGACTTTAGTCGCTAGGCCACGCTGCTGGGCCCAGATGCTCCACTCTTGATCCAGCTTCCTACTAATGTGCCTGGGAAAGCAGCAGAGGATAGTCTGAGAGAGTGGGCCCCATTGTCCATTTGGGAGACCCAGAAGAAGCTCCAGGTTCCTGAGTCTGGAATGCCCCAGCTCCAGCCCTTTCAGCCATTTGGGGAGTGAATCAACAGATGAAAGATCTTTCTCTGTGTCTTTCCTTCTCTCTGAGTAACTCTGCCTTCCAAATAAAAATAAATAAATCTTTAATTAAAAAGAACAAAGCTCATTTTTTTTCGAAGAATTTGATCCCTTGGGAAAAGTTCTGTTTAAATAAACAAACAATTGAAATCACTGAAGCTAAAAACTTGAAGCATCTAGAACAGAGAACCTCGCTAGAACCTAAGGCCACGTGTAAGTAGCATACGGCATGATCAAAGCAGCACACAGCCCTGTGCTTGTATTTCACGCCTTCTGTTTTGTGGGGCAGGTGGCATTAATCCTCAAAGGGGAAACTGAGGCCTGTGGAGATACAATGACTCGCTCAGATCTTCAGCAGGGCTGTGGTGGAGCTGGTGCAATGGTTAAGATGCCCTTGTGATGCCTACGGCCTGGACCAGAGTACCTGGTTTGACTCACTGCTCTGCTTCCAGTTACCTGCTGACACGCAACTTGGGAAGGCAGCAAGATGACAGATCAAGTACCTGGATCCTTGCCACCTGAATGGGAGACGTGGCTTGAGCTCGATCAGGGTCCCAACTTCAGCCTGACCCAGCTCTGGCCATCAATGGCCATTGGGGGTATAAGCTAAGGGACAGAAGATCTCTCTCCCTGTCCCTTTCTCTAGTTCTGTCTCCAGCTCCAGTTCCCTAGCTTGCTTGCTTGCTCTCTGCCTTCCATGTACATGGATAAATAAGTGCATTTTCAAGGCACTTTAAAATAATAAAATTCCACTGAGCCTTGAGCAAGCCTGTTTGGCTGGCAGAGGGTGTGGCTCCACTAAGGCCAAGGCCTGCCTGGCCTTGGAGTAGGTGCTTACCTAATGGCATAGTTGCAGACCAGGTACACTGCCTGATGCCAGGTGCTGCCCCAGACGTTGATGCTCTTGCAAGTGTGCATGGCACAGCCCAGCCGGTTGGAGGAAGCCCACACCATCTAAGGAAAGGCAGAGTCAGGGGGAAGGATTCAGGGAGCCACAAAGCCTGCCCTGATACCCACGGCTGCTAACACACCTGTGTTGCTGCTCACATGATTTTGTATATTTGCTGTTCTAATATTTCTAAATCTCGATGTTTTTTTTTTTTTTTAAAGATGCATTAGGGCTGATGCTGTGGCATAGCAAGTCAAACATTTGCCTCAGTGCCAGCCCTCCACATAAGCACCTGTTCAAGTCCCAGCAGTTGCACTTCCAATCCAGTTCCCTGTTAATGTGTTTAGGAAAGCAGGGGAGGTAAATACCAGGGCGTGGGCCCCTGCACCCATGTGGGAGACCTGGACGACACTTCTGGATCCCAGCTTCAGAATGGCCCAGCTCTCGCTGTTGTGGCCATTTTGGGAATGAAGATGGAGGATTATCTGTCTCTCCTTCTCTCCCTGTCTTCTTATCCCACCACACTACAGCACCAGCCTCCTCATTCTCTAGGTTGTACTGGCTACATCTCAACTTCTGTGTTGTTAAATAAAGTGGACAAAAACAATCCTTCTCATCGAATATATGTGTTGATGAACTCTTTCTTGTAGGTGGAACCCAGCCTGCCACAGGGTCATAGAAAGGGTTGTACATGGGAAGGCTGGCAGAGCTGTGGCCTGTGTACATGGGCTTGGCGTTGTGGTCTGAGCACTGAGTGTTAATTTCCAAAGAGATGTCCACCTTCCAAGCCAACAGAGCCTTGAGAAACAAACCAGGCAAGACATTTCCCCATAGAGCTGTATCTACACTCCGCCAGCCTGCAGGATCTGGCGCCCCGCTCGAGCCCAGGCAGTGGGGCCTGAGTTCCTCCCGTTCCTCCCCTTTGCATTTCCTCTAAGGGACTTCGAGCTCTGGTGGAGGCGTACCTGAGTGTAGTGCGAGCACACGGGGCCGCTGCAGCGCCAGGGGCAGTGTGGGTTGCAGTCCCTCGGGGCAGGAAACAAGTAATGCCGCTTCTCCTCAGACCACGCCTTTACCAGATCCACCACGGAGCGGAACCTGTGGAGGCGAGGAACGTGAGGGACGAGGGACAGAGGGGCAGAGGGGCAGAGGGGCAGAGGGACGAGGGGCAGAGGGGCAGAGATCCGGGCGGGAGCAGCGCCCGGCACCCGCCTGTTGGGTGGCCTGGGGTGGGTCTCCTCAGTCCCCATCCTCAGTTTTCCCCACCTGTACAATGAGAATGAGGACGGAAGCCCCTTCCTCACAGGTGTGTATGTGCAAGATCACGTGGGATAAGGAGACTTATCCCAATCGCAGTTAAATGGTCACTGAGTCCTCACGCTGGTCATTGTCACACACTGCTGGTCATTGTCATACAAAGGGCCAGGCTGGAGGCAGGCACTTGGCCCTGGACCTGAGGAATGCCCAGTTTGGGCCTCGTCAGATTCGGTTGTCAGAGACAGATCTACATAAGGGTCACAGAGGGAGAGAATCTGGATTAAGCCAGGCTGGAAACTTCCAGCAATGCTGCTGCTTTGCCTAACAGCACTGCCACTGCCATCGTCTCCTGATGACAGCTTGTGGGGCTCGGGCAGAACCTGACGGGAAGGTTTTAGACACAGAGGACGGGGAAGTCTTGGGTAAAAGAGCACATGGCCCAACATCTGGAAGGTTCTGGGGGATCATTCACTGCTCCCCAATTCTGGCTCTAGCCCCCAGCCGGCTGCCAGAGTGGAAAGAGGCAACCAGGGTCCAGTGCCCACCCAGCACAGCTGAAAGCACCAGCCTTGTTTGGTCTTCCTGCTCCTCTGGAGCCAAGGCTGATGTGGAGAGGCGGGGAAGGTGACTGCTTTTCTCACCTCTTCATTTGGCAAAGTAAAAATGTGACCCCCCCCCCCCCCCCCCCCGCCCCTTCAAGTGGGAGTGGCAGGAGGAGGTCAGACAGAGGAGTGGGTTTGCCAATCTCAGACTTTGCTGGAACCCCCTGGGGCCAGATGTGCCCTTCCCACTGCTGCCTTCATCATCCTTGTAAGTCACTCCTTATCTCTGTGACATCCTGCCTCTGTAAGCAGAATGTAGGCTTGTCCTGTGCAGGGAACTGGTCTCCCTAGCTCACCAAGCATAGCACCTGACATGGAGTAAGTTGCTCATGCACATTTGTCAAATGACTGAATGGCAGGCAGAGGGTCACTCACCGGCCGGCATGGATGGAGAGGTTCTGCCCCACGTATTTCATCAGCTGCGAGGGCCCGTGAGCCCAGATGCACTGGGTGGCCCATGCCTCAGCAGATCTGGCCAGCTGCTCATCCCAGACCTGGGGGAAGGAAGGTTGTAAACTTCCAGCAGGGTCATTACAGTGTTTGGAGATGGGCATTTAATTGGGGCCACGCCTCCCTTATCACCTTGGAATCCCATCACAAACCCACTTGACAAATTAGAATACTGAGGCTCTGGGAAGGGCTGTGACTTCAGGGTCAAATGCAGGTTCACACCCAGGTCTCTACTCCAAGTCTGCTGCCTTTTTTTTTTTTTTTTCCCTTACTGAACTAAAAGCCTGAGGGCCTCAATTTGAGTGACATCTCAGGATGTTTGCCCAAAAGTTTCCAGCAGCCCCTGGGAAGTGACTAAGCCCAGGGGGATGCCTTGTATGTTGGACTTTTTTTTAAGTATGTTCATATTACCATTAATTTTTAAATCTAAAACTGGATTTTGAAATGTGAAAATATATACAAGTTTAATTTTTAAGACATCAAAGGAGACGTGGGAAGTCTATTCTCTCTTCTGCACCTGTTCCCCAGTCACACTGCACTCTGCGCCCAGGGGCAATCCGCATTGCTTGGGCTCTCCTCTGGGACCATTGTATTACTCCTCACTGTGATTTCCATGCGTCCTCTGAATTCCTCTGGAATTTTAAACTCCCAAAGTCAGGTACAATCGAACACAACAAGCATCTTAACTGCTGTGCTAACCCTGCACCATGGTGATGCTGCACTTGTCACAGAGGTGGCCAGCCCTGGCATCGAGTGGGTAGGTGCTGCTGAGCTCCTTCCAGAGGGAGGAACCACAAACACTAGCCTTAAACACCAGCGGGACTGAGGCCAAGAAGCCCTTGCAGAGTGATGGTCCTTTCCCCTGGGACTCCAGCAGGAGGATGTAGGGGAGTGGACGGGATGGACACTCTACTCCAATCATTCTTGGACTCTGGAATGATAGTGCTAGACCCCAAGGACCAACAGTTTAGCTGGGAACTACGAGCAAATCATAGCTGTTACCCATGTGGAGGGGCAGAGAAGGTGACAGGAGACCCCAACTTTCATGGGGCTGTGGCAGCCAGGGCAGTTGGAATGAGGGGTGCATCCTCTGATTCCTACATTTGTGGTGAGGAAGAGATGGTGGGGGGACAGAGGTACACACCTGATCTCCTGCAGAAGGTGAAGGAATGATCCCCACATATTTCATCTGCTGCGAGGGTCCGTGGGCCCAGATGCACTGGGTGGCCCACGATGCTCCAAAGGGGATAAACTGAGGGAAGGAACCTGCTGAACATTAGATTCACCTCCACTGCCATTCTCTGCTCCCCGGGTCCCTGGGCACCAGGCTCTGTGCACTGACACATCAAGAAGAATCAGTGCCACGCATGCCCAGCTGCTGCTGAATGAATGTGTCATTTGTTTGGAAAATGGTAATAAGTGAATGAGTCAGTCCGTGAGCAAATAAGGGACTTAACCTAGCTTGAGCTGTCTGCTTCCTGGCTCCTGCTTCTGCCCCTCCCCAGCCCTGTACTACCTCCTGGTATGACCTGGCACAACATTAATGATATGACCTGGCATGACATGACATGGCATGTCGTGACTGATGTTTTGCCCCCACCACCAAGCGTAAGTTCCATGGGGAGAGGAACTACATCCTTCCTCATCCATTCAAGAGCCTGTATCTGATGAAACTGACCTCTTACCCAAGGAGAAGCATTCCCCGGCTACAGTGTTGTATGGAGAGAGGACGGATGGGCCGTCTTTCCCTAAAGAAATCTGTGTGTTCGTGTGTGGTGGGGGAGGGCGCAGAAGCCTGTCACTGCAGGTTGCCTTGGGACAATGGTCCCAGGGGAGGAGCAGGGATTAAGGGCAAGGTTGCCTCTGCCATGCAGGGGGCTTGCCTTCTCTGCAGAGGGCCCTGGGCAGTGCAGCCTTCCCAGCTGCCTCATTCAGCCTGGGGACCTCAGCACCTGTCCCCCACTTCTCGGGTCCCTGGCTCCAGGGCTTGCTGAGGGCAGCCTGGGCATGTAATCACAATCATACACACACACACACACACACCCTACCTCTGGAGCCAGAGACAACACACAGCCTGAGGTGTGGAGCCAGGTCTAGAGCACTGGTATTACACTGTTACATTGTTTAAGATACCATCCCAGGGGTAGGTGGGCTAGCTATAGGAATCCCTGCTGTGTTGCTTCTGACCCCAAGCCCTGCTAACACACCTGGGAAGGCAGCTAGCGGATCATGGCTCAATTACTTCAATCCCTGCCATCATGTGGGAGACCCAGATGGAGTTCCTGGCCGCCCCCCGGCTTCAGCCTGCCCCAGGCTCAGCTGGCGTGGCCTGGGAAAGTGAACTAGTAGCTGGATGCTCTCTCTCTCTAAATTCACTCTTACCTCCAGTCACTCTACTTTTAAGACAAACAAATCTTAAAATAATAATAATAAAAATACAGTAGATACAACCTCAGCAGGTATCCCTGGGTTGGAATCCCAGCTGGGGATATGTGCAAAGTGGGGGTGAGGGAAGTTGTGGAAAACTGGGGTGCCCTGTAAATAGTTGTCCTGTGCCCCAGACTCCCTGAAGACCCCATGCAGTTGCCTTGGTTTCCTCATCTATACAATGGACAGACTTATTTCTGCCCTCTGCTTAGGACTCAGACACCAGACACTGGCTAATGGGGCCAGACCAGCAAATGGCCCAGCTGTTCAGAACCAGCCGTGACTCTGGCCCTGGGAGAAGGGCTGCTGTATGCTGGGAGAGGTACTGGGGCAGTCAGGGGGACTCACCATGTACTCCATGTTGGCAGCAGGTGGGTGCACGCTGGCTCGGATGTGGTTGTGATAATCCAATAAGGTGGTCATGTCTCGGGCAGAGATGTGACGCTTCCGGCGATGCCGAAGCACCCCTAGGCCACTCAGGGGCCTCGTGGCTGTGTCCTCAGGTCTGGACAGTGCCAGAGTGGCATTGGATATCATCAAGGCATCCACTGTTTGGCCTGCCCAGAGGAGCAGGCCAGCCAGGCCTATGGTGCTAGGCAGCAGGGACATGGCTGGCTGTGGGGATTGTTCTCTGCTTGGGTCAGTCAGGGCTGGCTGCCTGGCAGGGGCAGGCATGAGAGCATCCAACCCCGAGAATTCTCCTCCAGAAAACTGCACCCTCTTGGAACGTGGCAAAGGTCTCCTGACCCAGCTCTGGTCCAGGTACCTAATACTCCTTCTTTCCTTCCACAGGGTGCTGAGTGGTTTGGGCAGTGGGGAAAAAAAATGCCCAGACGGTGGCTAATCCAGACCAGGCAGGCCCTGGGGTGAACTGGGGCCACAACTTCAAAGGCAGGGCCCTGTCCCACCCACCCAGGAACCAGCAGCTCAAATGTCCTCCCCTCCAGTCCCACAGGAGGGGGCTCAGTGAGTGGCCTCAGCAGGCAGGGCCAACCTTCCCCAGTGTGCTTAGCCAACCCTGGGCCAACCCTGATGCCCGAGTTGGAGTTACTTAGGGACTGAGAGAGAGATGCAGAAAGGACTAGAGGGCTGAGAAAAAGAGAAGGAGAGTCAAAAGATAGCAAGAAAAAAAGTTCCAAGCTACAGAGGAGGAAGGAAGGAGAGAAAAGAGAAAGAGAGAGAAAAGCACAGAGAGATGGGGACAATGGAAAAAGAAGCAGAATGCAAGAGAGCCAACTGGCAGCAAGAGGTAGTGGATCTGGGCAGCAGGGCAGGTGGCAGGAAATGACTGAGAAGGTGGGGGCCTCTGTGGATACTCTGGTCCACCTGGCAGCTCAACTCGGCCCGGCTACTTGAATGGTGCTCTGGAAGCTGATGGCATCTGACGTCCCTGGCCCCACGGCCCCCTCCCCTGGCACTCAGGCCAGGTTTGGACAAGGCGGCTCCGCCTGCTGGTTTCTGGCCCTCCCAACCCCGCCCTCACCCCTCATCCCTCCAGACTGCTGTTCTAAGCGCCACCTGGAGCTTACAGAGCTGAATTGAGCTGCTAGCCAGGGTCAGGGTCATGGTCAGGGGACAGGGATGGGAAGGAAAGAGGTCCCCAGAGGGGGTCTTACCATCCCCGCCCAGGAGCCAGAATCCAGAGGCTTCTGTCTGTCTCCCAAACTCTGACTTACCAAAGTCACCTTACCTCTGATGAGCATTTTCTGAATGTTTTCCCCCCAAAGCTGCCCAGCCTCGGAAGGGGCAGTGAACGTGGCCCCACTTAATGAACGAACACTTGCTACGTACCAGGCCCAGGGCTGAGTCCTTTCCACACACAAGCTCAGCCACACCCAGCAACAGACAACAAAGCACCCCGATTTACAGATGGAGCTCCAGACAGGGGAGGGAGCAAACCCAAAGTGGAGCCAGACTTTGTGTCCATGTTTGAGCCTGGGGTCCTGTAAGTTGGTAAAAAAAAAAAAAAAAAAGTCACTGAGTAATCGCTTGGAAAAAGCACCATGCAGCATAACGAAGTAGCCCATGGGTCAGGACTCTGTTGTCTAACCCGCTAATCGGGCATGCTTGCATGAGCTACTCAGCCATTCCGTGAGCATCTCTAAATGGGATGAATGATAGTGGCCTCGCGTAGTGCCGCTAGGAGTACAGGAGTGTGGGCAAAGGTTAAGTGCTCTATGGATCATTTATGGCTCACGTGTGTACTTGCGTGAGTGTGTATGTACTAGGGTATCATGCGTGTGCAAGAACACTAAGATGCATATGTGTGACACACGTATGTGTCCACCTCTATATGTATAGTGATGTCTGTACAGCGAGTGTGCTGATTTCTGAGTTGTTGAACTTCTGCATGAAGAGTTTTTCTCCTTAATTCCTTGTGTTTGCTAGGAACAGCAAGCATTTGTAGCAGCGAAAGCAGGTGTACAAACAAAAAAGGCACCCAACCCAAGGGAAAGCACTGGCAAGCCTCAGGCACCTAGGCTGAAAGTATTCTCAGACAGTGAGATTCTGCCCTGGCCCAGCTGGCAGTGTGTGACCGGGGGTGGGACTGGGCTACTCCAGCTGGGTCCTCCTCAGACACACGGAATTCCCACCGCAGGGAGCCGCCAGCCTCAGCCTCTGCAACCCAGACAGTAACAGCTGCCAAAGCACACACCTTCCCTGTGGCAGTGGCTTCCCCAGCCCAGGCGGATACTGCTGCTGGCTGCGAAAGGCAGGGAGGCAGAGCCGTGAGTCCTGAGGGCTGAAGTTCCTGCCCTTTGCAAGGCTTTCCCATCACTGTCCCACCAGCAGGACAGAGAGCTAGCCATCTCTGCCTGCAGGGTGCTGTGTGACCTGAGGCAAGTGTCTGCCCCTGTCTGGGCCTCTGATATCTCCCATGTAAAACTGAACTCTTGAGGAGGCAGGCCCTCAGGTAGCCTGAGGGAGGCAGATGCAAACAATCCAGGCGTGTGGGAGCACAGGCGTGTCAACAGTGGAACCCAGCTCTCTGGGAATGCCTCATGCAGTCCTCTACCATGTAACCGGCACATTACATGTGTGACTCACGGGCTTCACAGCTCCCTTGGAGGATAGCCCTACTCACTGCATAGATGAACATATTGAAGCTCACTCATCAAGTGAGCTTTGATGACTTGCCCCCACAGACATTTGCAAAGCAACTGGCATTCTGATAGTGAATGCCCAGGACATACATGGGTTGAACAAGCATCCATTGTACACAAAACACACACACACACACACACACACACACACACACACACACTCAAATCAGCCCATCCTCCTCCCTCAAATCTTGGAGGCCTCCATCCCCTTGGCCCCTCACACCCTCTCTCTAGTGCACCTGCACTGCCCTTGCATAATACTCTGTTCCCAGCTTGGCGTCCCTAATACAAGCAAATAGAGGCACGCTGGCAGCATCTTGACAATGCCCCACTCTGTTTGCAGTAACCCCTTTGCACAGATGCGCTCATTCAATCTTCTGAAATCCCCTGTTATTTTTATCAAGCCCATATTTATTCACATGAAGAATTAGCACCATGCAGCAATTCGCTTCCCCTGTATCACACATCTGCTGGGTGGCAGAAGCCAGCTGTGTCCTGCCCTTGCAGGGATGGACAGACATACAGACAGGGAAGAGAGTACACCCCAGTCACCTGGCAAGGAGCTGTACGGCTGCCCCACACATCGGCAGAGCCCCAGCAAACACGGCAGCAACAAGCACACGGCAATCCCTCAGCCACTCCACCTGGGGGGACCCTCTTTGTGGCCCGCATCAGCCAAGGCTGTGTGTGCCCAGTCTCTGTGGCAGGTTTCCCGATGTTGACGGCGGGAAGCAATCAGAGATGGCCCAAACTCAGGCCTAGTACTGATCTCACCTTTTCGGGTAAGAATGCCTTTCTCACCGCTAGATTTCACTCTGCCAGACTCAGCCACTGCCCTATCCTTACCCCAGTGGAATTCTTGCTGGGCTCTGGCAAGCAAAGGGAAAAATCTTCCAGAGAGAAGTAGTGTTCCAGGCAAAGTGGCTTGGTGAACTGGGGGCGTTTGGGGAGTGAACCAGTGGATGGAAGGCATCTCTTTCTCTTTCAAATACACGGAAGATGAATACATAATGAATTAAAAATAAGTATTATAAGAAGCATGAACCCTCAGATCTCTGTCACTTCAAAGGCAAGCAGGCCCGAGAGCAGAGTGTTGCCTGTTCTGCAGATGACCCAGAGGGAAGCACGGGTCTGGTGAGCAAGGACCAAGTCTGTGGAGCTGGAGAGCTCCAGCTGACCCAGGGAAAGCCACTGGACCCCTCTCAACCTCCATTCCCTCCCTGTAAAATGGGATGAAAAAATAGATAGCACCCTGTTGAACTCCCACGAGAAATTCAGTGATACAAGAAGCATTCAGCATAGGGGTAGGTGTTTGGTGCTTTGCGAAGTTAGCCTAGACATAGTTGATGGGATTTAGGGGATCGCGGAGTGCACTGGAGGACCCAGCCAGGTGGAGACGGGCGTATATATAGCTTCAGGGTTTGAAAACAAACACTGTCCCACCCGCTAATGGGGCGTGCTTGGTGAGCTACTCAGACATTCCGTGAGCCCGGCATGATAGCATAGTGGCTAAAGTTCTTGCCTTGCATGCACCAGGATTCTATTTGGTTCATATCCTGGCTGCTCCTTTTCCCTTCCGGCTCCCTGCATGTGGCCTGGGAGAGCAGTAGAGCATGGCCCAATGCCTTGGAACCCACATGGGAGATTCCAAGGAAGCTCCTGGAACCTGGTTTCAGATCAGCTCAGCTCCAGCCATTGCGATCACTTGGGGAGTGAATATGCAGATGGAAGATCCTTCTCTGTCTCTCCTTCCCTCTGTAAATCTGACTTTCCAATAAAAATAAAACGTAAAAAGCAAACAAAAAAACCACCCAAGCTGGTGGCTCGGACACCTGCCTCCCATATTGGACTGCTTGAATTCCAGCTCCTAGCTCCTTGCTAGTGTGTGCCCTGAGAGGCAATAGATGGCTTAGGTATTTGGATCCGTCCCATGGGGGGAACCTTGGCTAGCTCCGGCTTGGTTGCCTCATCTGGCTATAACAGGCATTTGAGAACTGAACTAGTAGCTGGATGATTTTTTTTTTTAAATTCAGTTTCTTACTGCCTTTCAGATAAAATGAAAATAAATAAATAAATGAAACTGTTCTAAAAAGTCCATTGCTATGTGTAAAACAAAGTGTTTACACTAAAATTCACTCAATTTTAGCTATTAACTTCTCCAAAGAGAAGCACTGCCTGTGCTTGGGCCTCTGTAACACACGCAGGAGGCTGGCTGGAGTTCCAGGATCCTGGTTTCAGCCTGGCCCAACCATGGTGCTGGGCCATTCGGGGAGTGAACGAGTGGATAGAAGATCTGTTTGTCTCTCTTCCTCTCTCTTTCTGTAACTCTACCTTTCAAATAAATTCTAAAAAAGTTTAAATCTTTGTGTACGTTTCAAAAGTTCTTTCAACAAGTATAAAATTAAAATTCCACATAAGGAAAAACATACATACCAGGAAAGCTAGCTTGTTCCTGCCACACATCCCTCCTACCCAGCATACATAAATACTTCTATAATATCCACA